AGAATGCTGCTAAACATCCTGCAGTGCACAGGAAATCCCCCTTCACAAAGAATCATTGAGTCTAAAATGTCAAAAGTGCCGTGGGCGAGAAGTGCTGCCCTGTTTGGTGGGGGTACAGTGGCATGGGAGGGATAAGTACATAACCAACAGATGGGTTGATCTGGGCCAAGATGGAAACTAAATGGCCTTGTGGGCTACCAGGTGCTTTAGGACCCCCACCCCCCTTTCATGGTCCATGGTTCTGCTGGGTCATGTTTCTCAGCCTTGCTCAGTTGTAAGAATCACTCAGCTGTAAGTTAACAACCAGATTACTAGGACCAGTCCAGTCCTGCTGAATCAGAATCTGCAGGAGAGGAGACTGGGAATCTATTTTTGTTGAGTTTGGGAAACACTGTGCTGAGTCACCAGTGGGGTCACTCAAAGCTGAGGATACTGAGGGGCCTGATGTTGGCTTCCTTGGTGGTGGTCCCACCACACCGTGGGACCTGGTCAAATCCTCATACTCTCACCTACGAATTACGTGAGCCATGGGAGGCTAATTGGTCATCTGCTCTATGACATCACTCTGAGTGGATGTTCACGCAGCTGGAAGGGCTCTTGAGATCAAATCAGAGACCTCAACTTGAGGAAATGGAGGCCCTGAGGTCCAGGGAGCACTTGTCACAGAGAGAGAAGGAGTGGGGCCAAGACTGAGACTTTGAGAACCTTCTATCAGGAGATGATTGCTGAAGCCCTATAGGTAGGGGAAGCATGCGGACTCCCGAGGACTGAGCATAAACCCACAGTGGAATTCTCTCTACTAGCAGAGTACGAAACTGTTATCTCTTTGTCTGATTTTGTTTATATCCTGCCGTGTTCTAGAAAGGATTTTGAATCAGCTTACCAAAAACCTTACATGGAGTAACATGAGAAAATGTACATAAGAATTAAAAAATTCATACCCAGAGGAATTGTACATAAGTTTGGGGAATCATCCTCAAATTTGACTTTGAGCTTCCTACCGAGGAATTTGCTGTAGCATTAATTAATTCATTCCTTAAATATGTCTTGATTATTTCTATAGTGGCAGGTTCTATTCTAGGTGTGGGTGTGCAGTGGAGATCTCAAAGGTCAGAAAGCTTAGAGTGTCGTCTAGTTGCATTGTTCTTATTAATGACATTGCATTGACCTTGCCATAGACAAACAGAAGTGTTTGCCTGTGTGTGTGTGTAGTAGTAGTAGTAGAAGCCCTAGCATATGGCAGTATTGACCCAAATTTAGTTAATTTTAATAGTTAATAGTTAATGCGGAGAACCAATGCAGCTCATTCTGGGCAAGCCAAGATGAGGCATCTGATGGAGGTAGAAGTATGTAGGCACAGCAGGAAGTACCATATTAGCCCTAAGGGTTTAGTCATCAGAATGATGTACAGAAGGAATGGGCGACATTGCTTAGCCTGGAGAGTGGTAGGTGAAGGTGGGTTAAAAGTTCTCCCACATGTGAAACAAATGCTGCCAATGCCCTGTCCGTATCTCTTGGCCTGACCACACACTAGTGGTACCCTATGGAAATATCCATGCCTCTCCACCTGAGAACCTGCTCTGGCCCATGCACAGGGGTACAGGCTAGAAGCTGAAGAGTTACCCATGCCAGGAGCAGCATTCAGCCAGTGGTGGGGGGGAGTTGCAAGGTAACTACCCCGGCTTCTTCACCTCTTAGGTGGAAAAACTCTGATGTATATTCTGCACTATGTTCCAGACTTTCCCCGTGGAACCAAGCCCTGTGTTGCCCATGACGGCTGCCTGCTCAGTCACACAATGCTTCTTTCCTTGACTCATGCTCCCACTTTCCTGCAGATGCTCTCCCCAAAACTACTTACACTCAGGTTCTTAACGCAAGGTCTGCTTCCAGAAGAACCCAGTTGTCCTTATAAATAGAAAATCTAACACAATCTATCTTATTTAAAAGGCAACAGTGGCTTGGCCACTTTAAAACGCTGCCTCTCCCATTTCTGGCTCTTAAACTCCACTTCCAGGGTCCTGCTGTGTAGCCAAATGCAGACATGTGAGAGTGGGTGGCCACATAATACCGAGCACCTGCTCATGCAGAAGCCCTTTTTGGGCAGCCTCAGGTGCACACGGATTTGCCCAAAGGGATGTGGGAAGGGGGAGGTGGTGTTGAGGAGAGACATGGGAACGGAGAATAGAAGCAGTCAGGTAGGCTAGGCTTCACTGACCTTGCCTCATTGACAGGAGGTACTCATTTCTGGCCTTGTGATTGTACGTTGAGGCTTTTTGTAGCCCCAACGAGTGTGGGTTAGTATAGTAGGGTGGGCAAAGTTCCAGGCTCTAGAGTCAAACCGAGGTGGACTTAAAACTTGGGAGTTGGCATTCAGTAGCTCTTTGACTTTGGATGACTTACTTAGTCCCTTGGCTCATGTGATTTTCATGAAATGAAATTATAACATGCACAAAGAATTGTATGCGTTGTACCTGGCATGCCATAGAGTATAAATGTAGCAATTATAATATTGGTGACTATGTGTGTGTATATATATATATATCATATAAGTGTATATGTGTGTGTGTATAGGTATATCTCCAAAATATAATTAGAGCCTAGAAAATGTGGCTGGCATATGCCCTAAAGTATATATCTGCACAGAGATCAGATCCATCTATGCAGGATAAAGATCTATTTTCTTCAGAAATTGTTCTCAATATTGGAATTCCCAAATCTACACAGAAGTGGAAAAAATAATGTAATGAACCCCCGAATATCCATCAGCTATCTTTGGCAATTATCAGCATGTCCCCAATCTCGCTTTATTGTGTCCCCCAACATTTGTTTCCTGGAGCACTTTGAAGCATGTTCTGGCAACAAGTCACGACAGCTGGTATCTCCAGTTTGCACTGTGGTGGATTTAGCCCCTTTCTTCTTCACCCAGGGCTGGGGACCGTGCACAGAACCCCGCAAGTTGGCCGTCTGCCCGGGGCCACAGGTTCTCTGTCATGGTCCCTTCCCACTGCCCTGAGGATCGACGTCCCTGCCCTCCACCTGCATGCTTTTTCCTCCCAGGCGGCGGTTTGTAGCACTGGTTTCGAGGTCGTGTCTCATTTATAGCCAGGTACCTGCTGCCTGTTCCTCTAGACTTAGCCGGTGTCATTCATGCTGAGCGTCTCTCTCAATTCTGGGAAAGTGCTGCTGCATCCACATTTCACAATAAATATCTTTTTAAACGGCCTGGTGTTCAGGCTCATTTTTCATTGCCAAGGAGGTTTTGACTGATGACCTAAAGAATTGCTTCCCTGTGACTGACAAGGTACTACAGCATCACGGCGTCCTCCACTCTCCCTGCAGGAGGCTGGGGGAGAGCCGTGACTTGAAGTGTCACAGGCTGCTTCCAGCAGAGGCACGTTACCCCAGTTACTGCCCGGCTTTCTTGCCCCCATGGGGCTGCTGGGGCAGGCAGGTGCATTTTGGATATGCTCCAATGGGACACGTTTTCACAGGAAATCAATGTGAAAGGCCTCCAAGGGCAAGGTGAAGTAGGGCTCCCTGCTCACTAGGCTCTGTGAATGCCCTTGCTCGAGTCTACAGGTGGCCCACAAAGGCATGGTTTCATAGTGACCTTGAATTCCACTGAACACAGAGGCTCTACCAGGGAGGGAGTTGTGGTTACAATTCTCTCTGGCATGGAGGCCCCAAGCTGCAAAGGCTGGTCATTTCAAGAGCTCCACAGGCCCTGGGCACTCTTACTTTGTGAAAGCACCTTCTTACATCACATCCATCATAATAAAATGAACCCACGTCCTGCATGAAATGTAATTCACGTATCAATGCCCAGTTGCAGATAACTAGAAGCATGGAACACATTCTCTCCTAGAGCCTTCAGTGAGAGCATGGCCCTTTGAACATGAGGAGGCCTTGAAGATTGGTGTTACAGAACTATGAAGGGCCTGAAGAAGTCACCTAAATTTTTCAGTCGTACTTTCTTCGTTTCATGGAGGAATATATTGCCCAAGTTTGGAGTTCTGTGATATAAAAAACGAGCTTGCAGTTCCAAGGTGACTCACTGCAGTGGCAAAAGCAAGTTGATCTTTTGCTTTCTAGGTGACCTGGGAAGGTTTTTCAGTCTTTAGATGAGAATGGAATCCAGTTTGGAGTAACCCGAGTTAATTCTGCTTTAATGATTGATGATGCTTCAAAGCCTCTAATCAAGCCCGTCTCAGAAGTCAGTCATTAAAAAATAGAAGTGTCATAACAGAGAAGGGCCTTCTGGAGCATAGTTGGCTGGAGGCCACGAGGAGGCTCCTGAGTGGCTCTGGCCTTTTCACTCTGAGATTCATCATCAGGTCTTCCTGCTGCCCACAGTTTGGTTCTCTGACTCTGTCCCTCCAAATTCACGTTGAAGTTTTAACCCCCAGCACCTCAGAATGTGAATGTATTTGGAGAAAGTGTCTTTAAAGAGGTAATTTAAGTTAAAATGAGGCCATTAGGGTGGTCCATCATCCAAACTGAACGGTGTCCTTATAAGAAGAGGGGATTAGGACACAGACTCATGTAGAGGGAAGATTAAGTGAAGACACGGGGAGAAGACAGTTGTATACAAGCCACGGGGAGAAGCCTCAGAAGAACCAACCCTGCTGACACCTTGAACTTGGACTTCCAGCCTTCAGAACCATGAGCAAGTGAATTTCTGTCCTTTAAGCCCCTCACTGGGTGGTACTTCATTATGGCCCCTCTAGCAAAGCAATACAGTTCTAATTGTGTTAATGGACGTCTGCCTCAATCCCTTGGTCTGCGACTCACCCTCCCCCACCCCCCGCCCAGGTCAATCCTCCCAAACCCCTCCCACGGGCTGGTGTCTGAACTCCACCTATGATTGTGGCTTGGTGGTCTGTATACACTTTTCTGAAGCTAGCTTTCAAGACCTGGGACTGTCATGGCTCCTAGATCTCTTGCTGAGATGCTGTTGTGGGCCTTGCTTGCCCAGTCATCCTTCTTTTGGGAAAACTCACCTTCTTCCATTCCTTGTGTTTCAAGTAGGGCCATCAGTCATAGCGATTTATTTGCCTTTCCTCCACGGAACCACTTGTCTGGTGCACTCTCTGCACCATTATTCTCGACCAAGAAACATTTCAGAAGGATAATTAAACAGTTTTGGCAGCCAGCTGGGGAGAGAGAGTAGAAGGTGACAGAGCTGTCCTGGCTTGGGCATCTGATGGATGTTTGTGAGGCTGGTAACGTGGAAGGAAGAGCAACTTTGGGGGGAAATGATGAGCTTTGGTTTTCAACAGCTATGAAGTGAGCTGAAGAAGGGATGTCTTAGGAGTGCTGGTTTAGGACTGAAGGGGACCAGGGAAGAGAGAAGAATTGATCCTGGTGTGAGAGAGAAAAACAAATATATATATATATATTTTTAAAGATTTTATTTATTTATTTGACAGAGAGAGACACAGCGAGAGAGGGAACACAAGCAGGGGGAGTGGGAGAGGGAGAAGCAGGCTCCCCGCAGAGCAGGGAGCCCGATGTGGGACTCGATCCCAGGACCCTGGGATCATGACCTGAGCTGAAGGCAGTCGCTTAACCAACTGAGCTACCCAGGCGCCCCACAAATATATTTTTTTAAAAGATCTGTTTATTTGAGAGAGAGCTCAAATCTGATCTATCTGCAGGGAGAGGGGCAGAGAGAGAAGGAGAGAGAATCTAGAGAGAGAAAAACAAATATATATTTTTAAAAGATCTATTTATTTGAGAGAGAGCTCAAATCTGATCTATCTGCAGGGGGAGGGGCAGAGAGAGAAGGAGAGAGAATCTAGAGCAGACTCCCTGCTGAGCATGGAGCCCACCGCAGGGCTCGATCTCTGGACCCTGAGATCATGACCTGAGCCGAAATCAAGTCAGACGCTTGGGCGCCTGGATGGCTCAGATGGTTAAGCGTCTGCCTTTGGCTCAGGTCATGATCTCCGGGTCCTTGGGATCGAGCCCTGCATTAGGCTGCCTGCTTGGCGGGGAGCCTGCTTCTCCCTCTCCCTCTACTGTTCCCCCTGCTTGTGCTCTCTCGCTCTCTCTGTCAAATAAATAAATAAAATCTTAAAAAAAAAAAAGAGTCAGACGCTTCACCGACTGAGCCACCCAGCCCCCCCCCCCCAAATGATATTATTAACCAGCCACTTCGGCATCCTAAGGATTGCAGCGAATGCCAGGTTCAGCTGAGCCCAATCTTCAAAGGTGGGCCTGGAGCTGTGTTGGGGAGTGGAAACTGGTCAGAGGTCAGTCATTATTTTGCAATATAGAAGGGAGAGAATTTGAAGTTCCCAAGGGCTGTCAGGAGGTGAGGGGTGAGCGAGAAAGATGGAAGGAGGAGACAGCAGGAGGAAAGAAGCCCAGAGATCCGCCACAGCCTGGAGGGTCCCAGGCGGAGCAGGGTAACGGGTCAAGAGTCCCTGCTGAGGCAGAGGCTGAGGAAGGTAGAGCACAAGATGTACGAGTCTCTGCTTTGCTCCCAAGCACACAGACTTAGCGCAGTTTGTGTTTGGTTTTGTTTTTGGAAGGAAATCGAGGGAGGGTCTGAATGTTGGTATTTTCAGCAAAGTGAGAGCCCCCAAGATTCGGTATGATGTGGGCACGAAGGTGCCCCAGCTAACAGGCAGGTCTCACGTGCATGTCATCTGCCTCAAGTCTGAGCTCACCAGCCGGTTGGTTCTGAAGCCTCCTTGCAGATTGCTGCGTCCCACCTCACGGGGAGGTTCCCCACCACATGTGTAGATTGGCCGACTGCCTCAAAAAGGCTCCCCCACGAGAAGTCTCCGAATGACCCACCTTTCAGTTCTGTCCAGTGGCCTGGCTTGACAATGCTGGTCCAAAAGATAGCCCAGAAATTGCCCGTTGCCACTTTGAGATCACAGTCGGGGAATTGGCTACACGAAAAGAGGCAAGGTTCACTCAGCAGCTTCAAAAACATTTTTTTTCCCCTCAGCCAAGTTTCTGTTCTGCTAGCAGTTCTTGCTTGTGACCTAGAAGCGGCCAGTGCCCCAGGGAACGATGCTGTCTAAACTTCCTCCTATTTACTGGCCTCCCCTCGCCCTCCCATCACCACTGGGCACTTGTGCTTCCCAGCAGTCTTTGCAGGCCAGCCCTTCCTGCACCCCACAGCCCTGCTCGGACCCTCGTCCTATCAGATGCAGGCCTGCAGCTGGATGGCAGCCAGTTGCAGCCATGAATGTTGGCACCGGGCTTAAATCCACACTGGCTTCCCTCCTCCCTGCAGCGGGTCCAGCCTGGCCTTCCTGTTCTAACTTCTCTCTCTGTTCTGGCCAAGGTGTATGGCAGACTTTCCTGGTCCAAATCGTACTTGAACAGCTGGGGTTTGTGTCTCTACATGCATTCTGAGCTTTGTGGATATGTACTCTGGCCATGTTGTCTGTAAATTAATTTCTCTTTTGCACACCGGGTTTGTTTGATCCATTAACATATGTACCCCCACCCACCAAGTTTAAGAAATTCCAGAGTCCTCTTTTCCTTGTCTTTGAACAGAAGTGATTACTTGTCTGGTTGCCCAGATCTGGCTAGAGCAGGGCCAAGAATCCCCTCTTATACACACCACTCCGTGCCTACACCCATTCAAAATCCTCTTAAAGACTCAGAGTCATCCCCTTTATCACCCTCATTTATTCATTTACAAGAATATTGAAACCCATCATGTGCCAGGGACTATGCCGGATGCTAAGGGCACAATGCTGAAACCAACAACAATGGCCCCCACCATCTGGAGCTTGGTGTCTAGCCGGAGATATAAATAAGTAAACAATTTAATCAACCGATGTAATAGGAAAAGATGAGAACACCTAAAGCCGACTTGGACATTCACGGGAAGTTTCAGGAAGAAATGCCATATGCATGGGGCCTACAAAATGTTGACATTAGGCAAGGGAGGGTGGCTTGGTGTTGGCATTAACTATGGCCTTAAGCCACGCCATCCGTCTGTCATGTAGGAAATGCCATCGTAGCACCAGACATAAGGAAACAGGGAAAGACATTGGCTTAGTGGGTTTTCATTTCTTGGCTCAAAAGCTATTCCTTGGCAGCCTCTAAAAATGATATTGTGGTGAACTGCTTGTCACTTTTTCACTCGTAGAGCCTGTATTTGGTAGTCAAGACTTTTGACTCTGAAGCATCAAGACTTCTTCGGCGTCTAATGGATACGCTTATCACCCTGTGGTAAAGCTCCAGTTGGAACCCCCCAAGGTCAGCCTCATCCCTAAGCTCCACTTTCTGGACAACTGACCATAAACTTCCCATAGGATGAGTGCCTTAAAAATATGTGTTGAAGGTGGGCAGACAGGGAAAGAGCACTTATTATTTTATATAAGTGAAACCAAATCAGCCAGTAACTTGGGAAAATTCAGTTAAATTTGGAGTTGTTTCAGGTGACTCAGCATAGATAGTGCTTATTGAATGCTTGCTGTGTGCTCGGTGCAAAGTGCTTGATATGTATGACCTCATCTCATCCTATAACCACCCTGGGGAGTGGAAACTCCTGGCTCTCCAGTGTAGACATGAGGAAAATCCAGCCAGGCCAAGTGACTTGACCCATGTCTCATGGTCAATCACCAGGCAGGGTTGAGCCTGAGGCTCCTGTCCCTCCTGACTCTCAAGAGTACTACTTGCTCTTTGGTCTTCTATTCCTGCACAGAACTGAGCTCCCATCTAGGTCCCTGGGTTGGTTCTTCAGGATAAGGTTTGGTCTGGGGAGATGAGCATGAGGAGAGAAGGAGGGAAGTGAGATGCACTCCCTCAGGGCCATCCCAGGGCGGGTGGATGGAAGCAGAAATCCAGCACAGCTGCCCATGTAAAGCCCAGAGTGGGAGCTTTTTTCCCGTTCTGCAAAGGTACCATAGCTAGCCCTGGCCCACTCCCCTGCATACCAGCACTGCACAACCACCCCTCCCTTCTGGACGCACCACTCTGTCTGCCTGCCCTCGGGTGCAGACCCAGCTCCCCAGAGCCTCCCCGCCTGCCCCATGTACATTTGAGACTTTGTAGGGCCACCATGGTTCTCCTTGCCCTACCCCAGACTCACACCCAACTGCCGGAATCTAACATCAGGAGGTGGATTCAGGTTTCTGACTTTCCAGGGAGGGAAATTCCAACAAGAGCCGAGCAGTAGGGAAGATGGAAGAATGGAAAGAGAAGAAGACAGAGGAAGAAATAGCATGGACTGCCCATTCATTTAGTGAGGTTACTAAATGAAGCCTTAGGAGAAAGGGGCCACATGTCTCAGGCTGGGTATGATCCCTGCCCCTCAGCCCTTCCCACCTAAAGTGGGAGATAAGTTGGACCTGTGGGATCAGCAGATATTTCCAAATGGACACACAACATTGGGTTTTCGATGTCCCACAAGTTACCTGAAAGAAATATTAGATGACAGATATGAGACCAACTAAATATATTCGGAAAGCTAACTACTCTGGCCAGAATAAGAAATAAGATGACATTTGTTTCTTTTTATTTTATTTTATGTTTTTAAGTTTTTTTTTTTTTTAAAGATTTTATTTATTTATTTGACAGAGAGAGACATAGCGAGAGAGGGAACACAAGCAGGGGGAGTAGGAGAGGGAGAAGCAGGCTTCCCCGCGGAGCAGGGAGCCTGATGTGGGGCTCGATCCCAGGTCCTGGGATCACGACCTGAGCCGAAGGCAGACGCTTAACAACTGAGCCACCCAGGCGCCCCCTTTTTTTTTAAGTTTTTATTTACTTATTTGAGAGAGAGAGAGAGAGCACGAGAAGGGGGAGCTGCAGAGGGAGAGGGAGAAGCAAGTTCCCACTGAGCAAGGAGCCTGATGCAGGGCTCGATCATGACCTGAGTCAAAGGCAGACGCTTAACAGACTGAGCCACAGGTGCCCCAACATTTGTTTCTTTTTAAAAGATTCGCATGTTCCCACATACAGGGGATGCATGTCTGGGTTTGTGTCTAGGTGCACCTGCTGACATGTGTGTGTACTGGTGTGTAACTATGTGCATTTGCCTGTGTGCACCCAAGGCTCTCTGCCTGCAGCGTTAGTAACGCACGATGTCACCGTTGCTTTGGAAACAGCATTCTTGTCCTGGCACGCCTGGGGACAAGGGGGCATGGCAGGCTGTGACATGACTCTGTGTGGTTTGTGATTCTCTCAAGGATGTGGAGGCTCTTGGGCAGTTGGATCCCTCTCTTCAGTCCGTGAATTCACATGGGCCATGTGGGGAGGTCCTATTCAAGAAAGTTATAAAATCTTCATTTGGAGGCGGATCTGGAAAAGAGAGCCAACTGGCTGTGTGGACATGCTCTTGGATCTTTGTTTTCTGCCCCCTGAAGAATGGCACCGGGATGGCTCTTCTCAGAGAGGTCTCTTCAAGAGGAGGCTGGTGGGCTGTGGTGGTGCCCCTTTCCGGCCACTGGGGGGCACTATTTAGGGCATCCTAGGGAGCACCCTATAGTTGTTTTACCTAATGGAATGTTAGCCACCACATGATATTTCCGCGGTAGAGAGGGCTTTTGTGATTCCTGCTGGGCAGTGAGGAACCATCCAGTTAGAATGGTGGCCTTTTGGGAAAGCTTTAAGTACAAGCTTAGATTTATACACAGTATGTATGCTGGTGTGCTTTTTAAATAAGGTGCTTATACTCATGTCTTAATAAATAATGTCATTAAATCATTTAAGAAACCTAGGAGCTAGACAGTAAAGATCCAGGGATGAAAGATCCAGCCCATGTTCCAAAGGAGTTGACGGAGAAAGTGATTAATTCAAGAGATAATTGCAACAAAGTATGATTCGTGCTAAGGAGAAGTTTCAGGCGTGGTGGAGCAGATACCAGGGGTGTGTGAGGGAGGGCGACGCCGGCGGGGGTGAGGGGTGGCAGGTTCTCCCTGCCTCTCGCCAAGCCCGATCTTCATTCACACCAGCTTGGGAACTCGTTGTTCCCAGCCGATGAATCCGTTGAGAGGAGAATGGTAATGAGAGAAGGAATGTCAATGTCAGTGTTACTTGGGGGAAAAACCCACACCAGCAGGCTCTGCTGGATTGTAATCTGACAGATAAAAGCACTGACTGCAAATTGGTATGGCTGTTAGTGAATATTAAAGCGGCTTCACAAGTGATCACCGAATGGGAGTGAGAACATGGTACTAATGATCATGATAAGAACAGCTGTCGTTTATTCAGTCTGCAGGATGGCAGGCACCGTGGGAAGAACTCTGCATCCCTCATCTCCTCGCGGCCCCACTCATCCTTGGCGCCAGTGTTTAGCTGAGAAAACTGACCCTCGGCGGAGTTAACAGGTGGTGAAGCTTTCCGGTCTCTGCGTCTCAAAGGCCTGAGTCATTTCCACTGTCCCCCTGTACCCATGGCAGACAGACAGATGGACTGTCCACTTACAGTTGTAATGGGCCTCTTGCAGTATGATCAAAATCAACTTCTCTCCTTCTCCCCTCTGCCCGCTCCTACCCACAAAATGGGACACATTCTTATCTTGCCCCTAGTGGAAGCTGAGACGGGCCCAATAGCTTCTCTGGGCACCCTCAGATAATACAAAATACCTGTCCACTTTATGTCCCAAAGGGTTTTCATTGCAGTAATGGGTATGTTCCATCCGACGTAAGGGTCCAAACTCCAGGCGTCCCTAACGGTAAAGCTTCTGGCATGGTCTCCCCCGGCTGGTAGCAAGCTGGTAGTGGGAGAGGCTGTGCCATGAGCTTCACCCCCATTTCTCTGCCGTTCACCTTGCCCAGGTTGGTAAGTGGTTTCTGATCCCTTCAGGGTCCAAGTGGTGGAGGGAGGAGGGAGAAAGGAGTCACGAAAAGTCTTACTTGTTAAGTCCTGTCTTGAACTTGCTGCCATATCGTAGGCTGCATGAAGAGAATATCATTTTAGCACCAACAAAAAGAGAGGCAGATTTGTTTAGTTTTGGAGGAATAGGATCACTCAGAACTAGCAATGATCACTAAAACTTAACTGAGATCATTTTATGTGCTGTGCAAACACACAATCAGAAGCGACTACAGTTACTTTTCCCATTTTATGGGAAACTGAGGCTCCGAGAGATGAGTAATCTGTCAAGGTCAGATAGGTCATTATGTGGTAGACCGGGGATTTGGGCCCAGAGAGTCTGACTTCAGAACCTGGTCTCTTAACCTCTCTGCTATCTGAAGTTGGATATCTATCAGAGAGAAAGGTACTATTCCTTACCAACTTGACAATTTGCCTTCTTTCTTATTCTAGGAAATGTTACCAGACTGGATAGTATTTCCTTTTAATAGCTGGTACTGAAGCAAATCTAATGAAAATGTGTAACCTGAAAAAAAAAACACTTTCTGAAATTGTACTAATTTATGATCATAAAGGGAACTCTCATGTTTGAAAATAACCAACAACTCAATTGGGTGGTATGTAAAGAATTAGGAAAACAAATCTCAAGGGAACTAATTTGTATAACTAGAAACTATCTCAAGAAAACTATTTCTTGCATTGCATGATACTTGGGAGCATATTTCATACAGTCAACATTTCCATACAACCAACAATCTCATACATATTTGCACCCAGAAATAATTTGTTGTGGGAAATAAGACACCCTCCCCCTAACACGTGGCTTGGAGGGAGAGAAGAATATATCACTGATAATGGTTCTCACACGTAAAGCTGTTATGTCAGTTACTGCAATTTGTCCCTTTCCTGATGCCATAGTTTATTGGCACTCACAAGAGTATCGAAACACTTTTTACATATTATAATTTCTGGAAAGCATATTTAGTTCAAGGGATTGTGATATTTTGTTTGGAAGTGAGCATTTTGGAGTAGGTGCCTTGCATACATCAGTCTTCACCCCTTTGTCCAAGCCACCCCCTCGGTTCAGTCCATCTTCCCTGTCTCTACCTGTTGAACTCCTACTCATCATACAAAGCCCACACAGATTGTCACCTCTTCACGGAAGCCTTCCTAATCACCCCAATCCGATGTGCTATCTGCCTCTGTTGGACCATAGAGAGTTTTATAATTCGCCTTTGCAACATTTTACCTTCTGTGAGAGTTGCCTATTCTTGTGTCATGGTCCTGACTAGAGAGTTCTCACTTAAGTAGCGTAGTCCAGCCACCCTCTCCATAGGGTGCCACTCCAATGCCCACAGGCCAGATTCAGCCCACCACCTATTTTTGTACAGCCCTTGGGATAAGAATGATTTTTATACATTTTAACGGTTGAGAAAAAGTCAAAAGAATGATATTTCATGACATATGAAAATGATATACAATTCAGATTGTGCATAATTTAATTTTTATTGGAATACAGCCACACTCATTTACTTATGTATTGTCTGTTGCTGTTTTTGCATTAATACAGCAGTGCTGAGTAGTTACGGCACAGACTGGCCCACAGAGCCTAAAATATTTTCTGTGTGACCCTTTATGTTTGTTGACTTTTGCTCTGGAGCAGGTGTTCCCAAATTTTAGTGTGTATCAGCATAAGCTGGAGGGCTCGTTAAACCACAGACTGTTGGGCCCCAGCCTTGTAGTTTCTGATTCAGAAGGTCTGAGGTGGGTCCTAAGAATCTGTATCCCTAACAAGTTCCCAGATGACCCCCCTGCTGCTAGTTGGGACCCGCACTTTTAGAAACACTGGTCTGGAGGTAAAGGAAGGTCTTTTTTTTTTTTTTAAATTTATTTGACAGAGAGAGACACAGCGAGAGAGGGAACACAAGCAGGGGAGTGGGAGAGGGAGAATCAGGCCTCCTGCCGAGCAGGGAGTCCAATGCAGGACTCGATCCCAGGACCCTGGAATCATGACCTGAGCCGAAGGTAGACGCTTAACGACTGAGCCACCCAGGCGCCCCAGAGGAAGGTCTTTGAAATCACAGATACGTCTTTAACTAATTTGTTAGGTCAAGCAGTTAACCTCTCTGGAGCTAAGTTTTTTCATCTGTAAAATGGGGCTCATGACAACCTGGTCAGGTTATAGGAAGTCGGTCAATGTTTCTGGAACATATAGTAGGGATTCAATAAATATCCGTTTCTTTTTTTCCCTCCTTGTACTCTCTCTCCCCACCCTTCTGTCTGAGAAGGAACTGACTCTGAATCCCCTTTCTTCCTGAGGCTGCTTGGGAATTTTATAGCGGTGGATAACTCATGATGTGTCTCCCTCCAATATGGTGCTTGTTATGTAACTCAAACAGGTCAGCCTGGGAAAACCGCTCTTACCTAATTTACTTAAGCACGTACTGTGTATAAGTTTCTTCACTAAGGAACAAAATTAAGATCAAGGATTAAAAAAGATATTGTCTGTCTACTTCACAGAAGTTTTCCTGATAACGGCAGAGGACAGGGCTTAAAAAATTAATGGTTGCCCTTTAGTTAATTGTAATCAGGTGGTTTTGTCTTCCTTCCCGGGAAGAATGATAAAGGGCAAGTGCTTTAGAAACAAAACCAAGCTGAAATCTTTAAGGGAGCAGATAGGAGTGCACTCACAGAACTATAGGTGATTTGAAAGGAGGGTTTTTCTTGAGCCTGGTTTTAGATTAAGCACACAAAAATACTAAGTTTTCCCTAGGAATGTTTTTCTTTAAACCTTAGCCATTCCTGCTTCCTAAAACTGTGATGAGAATCAAGTGAGATAATTAATATAATTGTATTTGAAAATTATAAAGTACTGTTTAAATGCGAAGGAAATCAGGTTTAGCACATTAAGTTGCAATGTAATTAGGCGAGAAAGAGCCTAATGTATTGGATGAATAGCAGGGGCTGCAGAGAATTAGGGGGGGTGCTGGAGGACCCCACTGTTTTCCGTCTTAGCCCCTGGGGAACCTATGCACCTTAATTTACCTCTTAAGCTAATTATAGAGAAGGTCTTTTAACCTTCTTGCTCTCAAATTTCTTACTTTCTTTCTCTACATGTGGCAGAACCCGAAAGATGAATTAACCTCACGGTTTCCCTCTGCTAGGGCACAAAACCTTCGTTGTTGGCTTCCCTTAGCACCAGTTAGAAAGAGGTACATTTTCACTTTACCTTTACATTTTTCCTTGAGTGCCCCCCTCCCACGAACTCTTTGACTTCTTCAGCTGGGGTTACATTTGCAAATCATGTTTATCTTAGTAACCTCCTTTTACAGAGAAAAACTTGTTTTTAGGCAGTGGTGTGCTGGTAAGTGCTTAACAACCAGCTCTCTGGGGACATATATGGAGGTTTATTATCAGTATGACCGATTTAAAGGATGCATAGCACACAATTTACAAATGATGATAAACTAAACCGTACTCCTCACTGTAAAGTCCACATTGCTGATTTTCACAGGATGCTTTTGTTGATTTGTGTCGGATTCTTGTATCCATAGCCAACCTATGGTTGCTACTGACCAGCAAGTGTAGTTCTGATGTGAATCCAAAATTGGTTGGTTGATACTTTCCTTTATGTTTACTAGTAAGATGAAAGTGACACAACCAAAGACAGATGTAGGGATGTTTGTCTGATATGAGCGAATCCTTTGCTGAATTGGATAATAGCAATGACTATTGGAAGAATTTTTCCTTAATTTTTTATGGGATTATGACTACAGACACAACATACATTTAATTTTTAATTTGCATTATATTATTATTCGCATGTTCTCCATCACTTTCTTTTAAAAAAAAATTTAAGGGGAACCCAACGTGAGGCTTTAACTCACAACCCTGAGATCAAAACCTGAGCTGAGATCAAGAGTCAGAAGCTTAACTGACTGAACCACCCAGGCGCCCCTCTCCATTACTTTCTTAAGCCTAGATGATCAACAAAACAATGAATCAAGTCCTGATTTGTAGCATTTACCACTTTCTGTGGTGTAAATATTCCTTTGCTATGTACTTGGGTCCTGACTTGGGACTTAGGCTGTTGTTCATTGGGGTGGGGGAAAGGCTTCTAGATGGGGTAACCCTGGCTCCCCTTGGCTTGCCCTCACTTCCAGTGTCTGCCCTCCAAGTTGGGAGTATCAGCTAAATTTTCAATGCTCACTTTCCATTCTTGGCTAATTTTACTTCTTGCTTATTTCTTTCAACTTTAGGGATGGAATTTGGAGATCTGCTTTGTAGCTACCATTCTTAGGGGCTTCTCATATTTTAAACATTGCAGAGAATTTTGAACATTGTATAGAGGAAGAAAATGAAAAGCAGTCATAATCCAATGTCTTGAGATGTTGATGTAGTTGTATTGGTTGCTTTTTTGATGCACTCAGATATATGATCTCACACTTTCTTTAACCAAATTAGGACCATAGTATACATTTATTTTTAAAGGATTTTTTAAATCAAAATATGACATATATGCTGAAAAATACACAAATCCATAAATTATTGCTACATGAAAAGACCCACATCACCACCACCCAGGTAAGGTAGTGGGATGTTACTAGCCTCTCTGAAACCCCTCCTCAAGCCCCCTACAAATTTGTATCCTCTCCCTTTTCTCTGAAGTTAAAGGCTCCCCTATCATCTATCATAAATTAATTTTGTGATTATTAGCCTTCTTCTTATAATTAGAAGCATATGATCTCACTGATATGAGGAATTCTTAATCTCAGGAAACAAACTGAGGGTTGCTGGAGTGGTGGGGTTGGGAGGGATGGGGTGGCTGGCTGATAGACATTGGGGAGGGTATGTGCTATGGTGAGCGCTGTGAATTATGTGAGACTGTTGAATCGCAGACCTGTACCTCTGAAACAAATAATACATTATATGTTAAAAAGAAGAAGAAGACGAAGACGAGGACGACGTCGAAGAAGAAGAAGAAGAAGAAGAAGAAGGAGGGGATGATGATAGCAGGAAGGGAAAAATGAAGGGGGGTATATCGGAGGGGGAGATGAACCATGAGAGACTATGGACACTGAGAAACAAACTAAGGGTTCTAGAGGGGAGGGGGGTGGGAGGACGGATTAGCCTGGTGGTGGGTATTAAAGAGGGCACGTACTGAATGGAGCACTGGGTGTTATACGCAAACAGTGAATCATGGAACACTACATCAAAAACTAATGATGTAATGTATGGTGATTAACATAACATAATAAAATTTTAAAAAAGCATATGGAATATACTCTTGTATCTGGTTTCTCTTCCTTAGCATTACGTTTGTGAGATTCATCTCTCTTGGTGTGTGTGGAATTTATGCATTTGCACTGAAGATTTTTTCCCATTATATGAATCTACCGTAATCTATTTATCACTCTACTTTTGATGGCTGTTTGGGTTGTTTCCAGTTTGGGCCTATTTTGAATAATGCTGTTATGAGCATTTTTTTTTTATTCTTATGTTAATCCCCATACATTACATCATTAGTTTTAGATGAAGTGTTCCATGATTCATTGTTTGTGCATAACACCCAGTGCTCCAT